CCTTCCCTCCACCCCCTCTCACAAACAACCTCACACAAACAATCAAGTTATATATGCCAATGTGTGATTGTTGTTAGTAAATCAGTATGCACCTTTCATGTTATTGTAATATATTCCAAGGCTTTACAAACTGTCTGACCCCAGACTAGACAATTAAAAGCAAAGTTGCAATTATTATACCTAACTTAACCAAGAAAGAATCAAAGGGTTTTGCTGTGTGCAAATTAGCATCATAGGAGCTGCCATTTGATATGTTATTTTTGCCATCACATGATCACAGCCACATTACAGTAGATGGCAGGAACAGTACAATCGTTTACTTGAGAAAGAATTCAATAGATCTTTTGGCACCAAATTTGTTTGAGTGACCATGAAACAATGGTTCCACTCAATCAAATTTCAGAAAGGTCTATTCCCCAGAGTAGAGGTTGCTAGCATTTGGAAAAGCTATATTTTTGGTTGTATTCTTGTTTGTTGCAGAGAAATGATGTTGGATCTTTTATTCTGCTACGCCAAGAAAAATGAATCCTTAGGGTATAAACAGGTGAGATTTCTCTTTCTTTCTTTTCCTATCAAAAGAGTGTTTCATTGACAGCACCCATCTTGTCAGGCAGGAACAATGAAAATGAATTGATTAAATGATTTTGTGGTACAGTGTAAGTGAAGAATTCACTTTCTCAAWGAAAAACTTTTTTTTTCTTCTTTCTTTACTTTTTTTTTTCTTTATTTTTTCTTCTTTTTTTTTTTTAACTGCTGTAGTAACAATCTCCCAATATAAAGATCATGACAGAGTCTAATAAATTAGAATTTCTTTTTTCTCAGGGAATGCATGAACTGCTGGCTCCTATAATATATGTACTTGACAATGACTCCAAGACACACAAATACATGGAAGGTGATAGCTTGTGAGTATTTTTTACAGCTATAAGATTTTTACATTTTTCATTTGTGATGGGGATTGAAAGTGGTGTGTAGTGATAGTGCATTCTCCTCCGGGTCAGTCGACCCTGGACTCCAAATCACATGCATTTGAGAAGACCATGTCAATAAGCAAAATTTCTCCCTTGATTTTCCGGTTTTTCCTGTTTTCTCTCCATCATAAAACCTTACAAGCTAAATTTTGTGAGTTAGTTTTGCCCTGATAGATGGTTCATTAATCAAAATGTCCTGTGAAAACTGAAGTATGTGTCTTTGAAAATGTGAAAATGAGTTGCCTTTTTAATGCCTTGGTTCATTTTATCTTTGTTATAAAGCAGAGAAATCGCCAGATGTTTGGTTGATCCAGCTTTTATTGAACATGATGCTTTGTAAGTAATAAAAAGGGTAAATAATTCAGTCAGCAACTAAACAGTGAAATTAGCGTAGGGAATCAAATGTGGCGTAGCGTTAGTACACTCACCTCTTGCCTGTGGAGTCTCGGAGGCCATCACTCCCAGCATGCAGCATTAACACGACACCAATTGAGTTAGAGTGCTTCCTAGCATTTTTGTCTTTCTTGTCAAATGGGAATTTAATTTAATCAAGGTAAATAACGATACTGATGCACGTGCCTCACCTCTGGAATCATGGGTTGGATTCCTGGACTAGTATCATCTGTGATCATTGATGTTTATTAGTAGCCTCCTCCGCAAGCATCTCCTTGACATTTTTTGCTCCTTGGGCTTCCTGTGTTCCTTTCGCTTTTTCTCTCCCTCCCTCGTCCTCACTCCTCCTCCTCTCTCGTTCCTAGTTCTTCCCTGCCATAAAATTTAATACAGGGATCCCATCAGAAAATAAGAATATATGAAGTAGCCTGCGGAGGAAGCTAGTTTATTAGGTGTCTTTCTCCGGGTTCTCTGGCTTTTGTGTCTCAACAAAACCTGACTATTTAATTGCCAACTAAATTTGTGAGTTTCCATGCCCTGACTTTGATTCATCTAGGTTGTTTCAGGGTATCAATCAAATTTTTAAAAATTTAAGGTTAGGAGCCAAAGAATTCCCCTTGTGTTCCATTCAGCAAACTGCCACTGCCACCATGTAGTACACTTTCATATTAATATTTCTGTAAGTAAGATCAGCTTAGGTTCACCATTTGCATTGCGTCTCATTTGTCATTTTTTTTCTTGGTCTATAGCTCTATGTTTAGCCAGCTAATGGAAGTAACTGAGGCTTGGTACCAACAACACAAACCGATAGAGACTTCTACTAACAACAAGGTATTTAATTTACCTGATTGGATTTGTTTGCACACGTGTAATAGCAAACAGAATCACTCTCTTATAGATAAAGATAAACTTTCAAGAAAATAGGCGACTAACTTTATACTCCATTCAAATAATCACACGACCGACATAACTAGCTATAATTTAAGACGTCTGGGTTTTGGTTTCCTTCATTTAAATTTGCAAAGTCGGAGTTAGTATTTTTTAGTTGGCGGAAGCTAAAATGAAAACAGGGCTATGTTGTTAACGTAATGATTATGAAAAAGGATGTCATCCAGACAAACCTGATCTCGTGTCGTATTGTATTGTTTCAGTTTATAGGTCAACAGGCTGAACCATTTACAGATCCTCTTGCTTCTCCTGTAAGTACTTTCATTTTACCCCTTATGGGAGATTTCATATCTATGAAACTCTCATGGTTCATGCGCATTGATTTGCACTTATTGTTCCCAAACGTACCCTTGGCTCCAGAGGTTCTTATGCGTTTCGTAGTAAGCCTAGGTGAGAGCGGCAGTCTTAACGCTTCAGAGAATTTATATAACCTCTGGATTACCCAAGGTATCTCACACGAAAAGCCTTAGTTGAAAACAATACTCTTATGGCCAGGTCCAACGGTCATCGTATTCTGCGCATGCGACAAACAGAGGTGTCGGTGTGAATGAGGTCAGCGATTTCAAAAGCCTGCGTTTTCGCATTCGACACTATGACGATACGCCTTCGTTTGCAAATGTATCCACTCTTGATAGTGTTTACAAATGTATTTGTTTTTTTAGTTTTTTTTTTTTTTTTTTTTTTTGTGAAAAAGCTCAGCTTTTTTGAACGCCTTAGTGTGGCGCAGTGCCAAAAGGCATCGAAAATTATGCGTTTTCCAACGAAAGCACATGTGTGTCGACGAGGCCTAAAATACACCAGACCAAACATTATGAAAAGTGAGCAATGATTGTAATAACTTTTTTTTTTTTTTAATGTCTCAGCCAACTGCTATAGTTAAGAAATTAAATAAGATCCAAGACCATTTGCTTAGAAAGTACGATCCGGATTTATGGATCCATATGAAAGAACTGAACATTGTTCCTCAGGTCTATGGTCTGTAAGTATTCTTTCATTATTTGATAGTCTCRATTTGTTTTTTGGTTTTTAAGCAAACTTAAAATCATCTTTGGCATAGAATAGGCCCTTTGCAGTTAACGGTCACGTGTCTGTACTGAAATGCAAAATTTTTGTTTTCATATTGAATTGGTGATTCTTTTTAGCTACTTGTAAAGAACTGAATGAAAAAATGTGTGTACAGTGTGTTACGAAATATAGTTTATTGCGATCTCTCGAAACAGGTTGTAGAAATTTTGTTTGCTCACCAGGTATATTTCACCCATGTAGTTCATTCAATTGCTCTCAGTGAACAAATCAGCACGTGATTGCTTAGCTGCAAAGGGCCTATTGACTTTTCTTCTCTTCTTGGAGTGCATGTGACGTCAAAGTCGCCATTTTGGACGACTTTGACAAAAACATGGCGACCGCGTCTTTTGTCCTATTCTCACGAGAAGGGTTTACGCCAAAAGTTAGATAACGCGTCTTTCTGCACTGATGTGTAAGGTTATTGTTGAGTGCCTAGATAAACGTTCGTTGTTTTTTTTCTAATTCAGTCGTTGGATTCGTCTGCTGTTTAGTCGTGAGTTCCCCTTCGAAGATGTTCTCGTCATCTGGGACGCTCTGTTTGCTGAGGGAAGTCACCTCGACCTAGTGGACTATATCTATATTGTTATGCTGCAGACAATTCGAAATCAATGTAAGTTTTGCATTACTAACCTGAAAATATATATTCTTTCCCAAAACACAGTTAAATGACAGTTGCCGATGTAGGGTCGGGTCAAAGTGGCCCCCGGTTATCGAGGAGTTTTCTCCTAATCAATTTATATAGTTAATTAATTTTACTAATTAAGTTATAATTGATTAATGTTGTTTCTATACTATGTAAAATTGGAACATGGTAAAAACGTATTTAAAAATTATTTGTTTAGGTATTATAGATTTCAAATTAAGATATTATAGGATTCTTTTTCTTAGAGTGAAGTCATTAAACCCGTGAAATAGATGTTAGACTAATACACTTTAGTAGAACCTAATTCCATTGTTTTCTTTTGTGTCTTTTTGACTATTACACGTTGACTAGTATTTTTTATTTCACGGGCTAAATGCCTTCGCTCTAGTAGATCTAATATTAGTTTAGCTTATAATATATTCGTCATCAAGAGAGTGAGGGTAAAAACATATTTCAAGGGTTTTTACTGAAGTAATTTGGTGTGTAATATTTTAGGTTGTTTTATATTATATTTGTAGATACACTATCAAGTTATCAGCAACGCTGTAATTTATCATTTTATTACTACTTATTATCATTATTTAGTTTATTTCGTGTTTAAATAAAATCCATCATTATTGATATTATCATTAAAGAAAGTTGCCTTGCTTCATCCTAAATTGCTGTCCCATTTCGAACCACATGGTGTCATTTTTGTGTTTAACGGTTGCACCCGAGAAGACACATGAATATGGATACAACTCAAACAAAGATTCCTATTCTCGAGAGAATGACACGTGGTCTAGAAAGGACAGACATTTCTCCCAAGTTAAAGTTGTATATGTGGATCTCAAGTCTACATTTTTTTAATCTAAATGACTCAGGTTGTGTTTTTATTGTTTCCATAGTGATGGCAGGAAACTACGTCACGTGCATGGGACTCCTGATGAAATTCCCACGTGCTTACAGCGAAGTTTATGTCTATGTTAAAAAAGCTCTCAATCTTCGTGGTTCCAAGGTTTGAAGCTATTGACAATCTATAAACCCGGGGAAGGGAGGGAGGGAGGAAAATGCGCCAATATTTGAAATTCTTCCAATATTTGAAGTTCTACTTTGCTTTGGTTTAACTCAATGTCTTCTTTTCTGACAGAAATCTCGTCCGTCTTCCAGAGGCTCTCCTCGAACTATATCACCTGTTCCAACTATAAAGGAATCCCAGAGAAATATTAGTGAACGAGGCAGCTTTGTTACCGGGAAACAGAACCAAAAGGTAATATATATTTTAAAAAGTTGTCATAATTAAAAAAGTTTTTTTGGTTCGGTGTTTTGGGGGCTTGAACAAAATGGCGGATTTTTGTTGGCTACGCCCCTGGGTCGACAAACGTGTAACTCCTCAGGGGTACTTCCAGTACACCAGACCGGCTTTCGTCAATAGATCTTTTAAGTAGTGTTTTATGGATGCTGAATTCATATATTTGTTACACAGAGAACATCTCATCGTCGACCACAAACAACTTTTTCTGTCCTCACCAAACGATACACGCCGTTCATGGACTCAGGAAGACATCGGTCCATACCCAACAAGGGTGATCAGATAGAAAGTCAGCCAAAGACAACAGGTTTGAACCTCCCTTTCTTCACAAATGCTACCGAGCTTTCTATCCAATTGGTCATCTTCGGAGTACTGTCCAAATACTGACATGGGTCGTTACTCGTATTTATTTGCACGATGAATAACTTTTTGCATTCCCATTATCTGTTTTGTTTAGAATTGGTTCCTAAATCTCCGAGTACACCCTGGACTGATATTCTGCCTCCAACAACAAGAGATCGAACAGACTCCGCGAGTTCTGTCGGATTGAATTCTGCTCGGAGTATGAAATCTCTAGGAAGTGACCTCAAGACCAAATTAACTCGACCACGTTCTCGTTCACGCCACAGTGTAGAGGAACTTGAAAAGGTCAGAGGATGTTGTCATTGGTGCTGCTTTTTTTGTGATTGTGCTGAAGTTTGGTCGTGGTAGTTGTGGTTCGTGAGGCGGTTATGTTGGGTAGTGGTAGTATATTAGTGGTATTGGGGGTGCCAGTGGTGGTGGTAGCCCTAGTGGTACTGGTGGTGGTGTTAAGTAGTGGTAGAGGTTGGTGGTAGTGGTACTGGTACTGGTGCTAGTGCTAGTGCTAGTGCTAGTGGTAGAGTGATTTTATTTAACCCGTGAAAAAATAGTACGCATAATAGTTAATAGTAGAGTCTAAACCTATTGTTTAACTTTTGTTTTTTATCCACTAGTACTAACTATAAAATCTTTTTTTTTTCTTTCACGGGTTGATTAAAAGCGCTCTAGTAAACTGGTTATCGCTAATAACCACAAGTAGAGCAGTGGCACAGCTCAATGGGGTCGAACTGAAAACATGGAAACACAGTCCATGTATGACCCACGATCAAAGCACTAACCAGTTCGAATGAGTAGTGTCGGTTCGACAGGAGGGAAGAAAAACCGGAGCGCCGGAAAACCACTCGTAGTCTGAAGGATCGAGAACCAACCAACTGAACGTTTTACCACCACGCTATCCTGACTCCCCACTCCCCTGGTAGTGGTATTGGTGGTTTTGATTTCATTAGTTGTATTAAAGGTGGCCTTCTTCTTCTTCAAATCCTATCATTCCTAGATGGCACCTATCGCCATAACGTTGTTGATGGTTGTGATTGGGGGAGTTGTGTTGGCTGTTTATAATAATGTTATATAAATATATATTTGTACTGCATTGGCTTTCATCTAATGCCAAGTGTGTCTCACTTTAAAGTGTTATTAATATCTCGCATGCATGTGCAGGATCACCAAAGGCTTCAGGTTCAAGTATCGCAGTTGAATAATGATGTAGAAAGAATGCAGGGCTTGTATCTGTATTGTGGAAGAAAATTGGATTCTTACATAGGCAAGTCTAATTCTGCAAATATCTTTCATCAAACATAATAGCGTACGTTCGTGTCACTAACATGAGTCGTTTAGAGTCTACTTCACATGAAGGAACTCAATAGTGATGTAGCGGTATTGCACTCGGCCATAACATCTGCAGTGTCAATTCCTGGAGTCAAAGCTGGGAATGCCGGGGCAAGCCTCATTTGCAGGCGGCTTTAGGGTCGGTCCTAAATTTTTTCGGGGTCACCCCAAAAGCCGCTCGCAAAGAAACACAATGCAAGCCCTACCCAAGCGAATCCCAGGTGTTGCATGCTCGTCCGAGCACTCATTTTATCTGAAACTGCATTATTGCCGTATCATTACGTAATCTCGTTAAAATGTAAACACGAAATGTTCACGAACCGTTATTATTCCATACTTTGTGTCTTTAATCATAAAGTGACGAAGTGCATAACTTTTACGGTGTTGTAGGTCTTATACAAGAAGAAATCACGAAAGAGGATGAAGCTGATAGAGACGTCGTCTATCTTTCCCTAGCAGGACTCAAACAGGTATGATGCACTCAAGGCCATCTTCTTAACGTGAATGAATGACTTGACCAACGTTTTCGGGGGGAAATGGCTAATCAATTCACCGAATCAATGAAGCAATCGTAATCTGTAATCAATCTCCATCGAAGTGCTTCAGTATAACTATTTATTACTGGAGCCTCCTTTATGCTTGCTTTGTTAGTCATCACTCAACCAAGATAGTGAAATAGGTCTTTTATCTAAATATGTCAACTTGATGATTCAATTATTCTTTTTGTGTAAATGTGTATGCTTTTTGTTCAGGTGCGTGATCTGCTCAAAGGGACACTTTCTTACAGAGGCACCACTGCAGAGACTGAGAAGGATTTTGTTGACATCGATAATGGCATAGCAACCAGGTACTAAAGCAATTGCTGTTTTACAGTTCTAGGGTAGATGCCTGGAGAATTTCCGTAAGGGGGATCGACTCAACAACTTGCTGCAGCATACAGAATTCATAGGGCTACCTGGCCGAATGCTTATTAGGAGCGGATCAAGGAATTTTGAAAGGGGGGGGGGGGTGACCATTACAAAGATTTTACCAGGAATTCTAGGAAGAAGGGGTTGAGAAGTTTGAACAAAAGTGGAGTGACTAGTCACCCCTTTTACCACTACTGGATCCGCCCCTGCTTATATATTCAAACCTTTCTAACTTTACAACTTTATTGGGTATCAATCAGGAAGGAAAATTACAGAACCAACATGCTACTCAAAGAGGAAAGTGCGAACGGGACTCTAGGTCCCATGCTAGGCATTTCCTTTTGACTAACGATACAAAATCAATAGAGAATTGTCTTGGAAAATTAATACAGTTATAGTAGTAAAAATTGATAACTAGTGAACCGAGAACGGCCAAAAAATAGTCAATGGAATTCAAACAAACAAAAGTTGCTGTGGTTCAGTTATTGACAAGGACACTTACGAACTAATGACCAAATACATGTCAGAAAGTGTATGTAGAAAGTGGCCTTCCCAGATCCACTCTAGTACTGACGAGACACAAAACCCCACCCCACCCCACTCCAGCTAAAAGTTGTCACTATTCAATGCTAACTAGAAAGTAATAATAATATCATTCATTTTTAAATGAAAATTTGTAACACCGCCGTTTGTTGTCTTAGACTTCAGATAAGCTCGCCCAATATTCGGCCGGACCCAACATCAGACCACGGTACTCCAGTACCATCACTTGCTAACTTCAACCATTACGAAAACACCAACGACAAAGAACCAGCTTTACTTACCTCGAAATCTATCGATAGCAATGGGGATACGAATTTTATTGATAGTCAGAATGAACTGCAAAGTGAAAATATCATGGATAACATTGCTTTAGATTCTAGAGGCACTTGTCGTGGCAAGGTACAATGCGAGGAAGAAACGCCCTCGAAACCTGATGATACTAGCAATATTAATGTTTCTCGAAATCAAAATGATAATGGCGTTAAAGAAATATCTGTATTGGAGGAGTCGGCCAAAGCAGGATTACTACAGACCACGGAAGATCACTATGGTAACGAGACAGTTGCTGGAAGTCAAAAGGATGTCAAAGGAAATGTCCTGGAGAAATCTAAGGTTCTTTCTCTAGATTCTTATATAAAGGAGCACTTTGATGGTGATGCTCAGTGGAAAGACCCAATAAATATTGCTGCCGTCCCTTGTGCAATAGGACCTAAAGCATCAGCTAGTGAAGATACAATTCATGCTTTAAGGCCTTGTACTGATGACCCTCTGTTTTTAGCCGAACAAAACAATGGAAATTTCAATTTTAAGAAAGAAAAGCAACATGCTGCCGTTCAACGTAAGCTAGATGGTGATGCGAGAGAGGGTAGTATTGACTTAATGAAAGGTAGCCGAAAAGCTAATCTAAAGGTTGAAGAAGGTACTGCAAATAATATGGCTAGTGACAATTCATTATTAAGTACACCGGATGAACCACTTGATGGATTTGTGTTCGTAAATCAAGATGGAACAGCGAGAAGTAACCATGGATCACCTGTACATCCACTGGAAAACGACGAAGATTCGGATCGCTTTATTTAGCCAATTAAGAACCAGTTAATAAGATCAATCAAATCAGCAACAATTATGTTTGTTATATATCATAATAATTCCAATTGTAATTACAAAAAAAAAATGTCATTGTCGTTCAATATATTTAACAATTATTCCCCGATAATCACCGAGCCTAAGGCAAATAATTGTTTTAGTATAAATACACAGGTGATTCTTTCAAAAAAAAAAAAGGAAAAAAAGAAGATAAAAGGCATTTTTTCCCGGTAACAGCAACAAAGCGGCTGGCAGCCATTTTGGATTATCGCTCGAGGTGATTATCGTGTGATAGTGCGAGTTTCTTGACCAATCAGCGCGCGAGATTTTCTATAATTACCTGCGTATTTTTACTAAATGTAATTATTATATAGTTAGGATAGTTCGCGCGCGCTGATTGGTCGAAAACTGTGCTTTATTAGTGAACGGAGCACAGTGCTGACGCCATCCGCGGGCGCGTTGTTCTGCTAGATCCTGCGACCTTCTTTCTTTTTGCGTAAATAAATTCAATGCCGAATTAAAATTATTAACTATATAATAAAACGAATAAAACAACTTTTTCCGCGTTCTGTTAAGAAATAAAGCACTTGGAAAGCGCCGTAAGCACTCGAGAAGTTCTTCTTTCGTGCTCACGTCACTTCCTGCGTGCTACATTACTGAACGGAGCAAGAAAAAAGCTGTTTTATTTGTTAATTAGAAATATTCGATAAAGTTAGCGTTCACCCAAAACCTAGGATGCTGAGATGACTAAGAATCATCGAAAGCATTTCTTATGAAAACTAGAAAAGCTTTGATAAAAATAAACTACAGCTTGAGGATGCTCACAGTGAAACTAACTGGTAAAAGATCTTTAGGGCCCATCGATAGTTATTAGAGACTTTAAGATTCTCGTTTACGGCAATTGCGAAACCTCAGTTGACCATTGGAAAAATATTTAAAAATAGCAATAAAAGAATCGCAAAATCCCCAGGTCAGTAGATAAACGAAAGAATATTTGTTTTTAGTGGTAGGCTTGCTAAAGGCAGAGTGGAATACAGGAAAAAGATGAATAATGTTCATGAGCGTGTTCCTGTTTGCCGTTTGCGGGAAAGAAAGACTGGGATTTTAATAAGTCTATTTTAAAGCAGTTGAACTGATAATAATTATTGACGATAATCATGTTCTTCTTCAGAATACCTTTCGGTTTCAGATTCTATATTCTCTGTTTTAAACCCTGATTTTGCTATTGAATAATAAACTTTATCAAACTCATGAATAATTCATGAGGAAAACACAACAGAAATCCCGACCGTGAAGAGTGTTGTAAATCTGATACAAAACTGTGTTCATTTGCATAAACTTTAAGTTGGATTTTCTTGGCCAAATTCACTTTAATTTTGAAAATTTTTAGTGAAACACAAAGGAACTAACCTAGACGTTTGATAAGTAATATATACAGTATGAGTGGCCGTGTTGTATCCGATATACAAACTCGAGACGTAGCCGAGAGTTTGTATATTGGATACAACACGGACACGAACACATGAACTATAAAGGCTACTGACTGATTCTGCTCTTAGCACAACAACACAATTTTTCTCCAGTCCTTGTTTAGTTCGCGTAATCATTTCATGCTGAGAACCAAATTCTTTAAGAAATAGATAATAGTAGTATATTTTGACTTTCGTCTAACCGTCATGTTGTATCATATATATAATATACTTGTAGGGTGCAAACAATTAATCCGTGAAACACTAATTACTAAATAGTACAAAATAGTGCTAATTAAACTATAGAAAACAATGGAATTTGCATGAAATTGTGCTATTTAGTATTCTAAAGTTTCACGGATTTATTGTTTACACTCTATTATATAGAGTTCTCTCTTCACATAGTAGTGCCTAATACGTTTGCCAAACTTAACTTCCACCAACACTCCTCGACACAATCGCTTACACTTGCTTGAGCTCTCCCTTAACATGCATATGACATATTAATTCAAATTGAAGGGAAAGGCTGAAAATCTCACAGGAAACTGAAAGACGGCCAGGTGTCAGCGATGCTAACTGAGCCCGCGAAGCATCTTGGGCGTCATTTGACAGGCAGTCGTCGACCAGGTACTATGTCTGTCCACTGTGCATATAAACCCGAAAAGAGTAGATTTCAGCTTTTGCAATATTTCTGGTTATTGACAACCTCTTTTCACTAAAATTCAATAGTGTCGATTTATTTTTACTGGTAGCATTCAATAATAACAACATTTAAGAGAAATTTCAAGACAATGACACGTATTCTCGATGGGAAAATATTACGCTCAATTGTCGAAAAGGTCTATGATATCCGTTTATGGGTGGTTGAAATTGCAATCATTCATAAGAGAATGATGTAACAGAAATGGCTGGTTTTCTTTCATCGTTTTTTTTTTTTTTTTTTTTTTTTTTTCAAATTCAGGCGAACACGGAAGCAACCTCGGGCTTATCGAAGTCAGGACAAAGCCGACTTAAGATCGAATTGTAATTTAGCAATAGTGATGTTAGGTTTTGCGGAGGGACGAACCTAAGATCCAGCTGGAGAAAAATCTACGAGTCAAAAGAAAATGTCAAATCTTTTCAGCTCAGTCTGGTGTGCAGACCAGTACGTAGTACTCAGTGAAGTAGTGTTTATTCAGTAGGTTGCTGCTGCTGTGATACCGAAAGTCGAATGCATAGTCATGAACTAAGGGAGATGGACTTCCCTTTCAGCACAACAACACTATCTATTTCCAGTCGGATTCAGTTCGCATAATTATTTTACGCTGAGATTCAAATCGATAAAGAAAAAGAAAATAGTATTCGGTTTGGATTTTCTTCTGACTGGATTATACGGACAAAAATAATTAAAAACAAGTACAGTGTGCGGTAATCCTTTCGCTTTAAACGCTATTTAAATACCAGTGAGAGATTTCAAGCGCACCATTGTCGACCTAGTCAGATTGTAACTCTCCAAGCATAAAAGCTTTCAGACAGAAAAACCATGAGTAAGGCAAGTGCACTAAAAACTTGTGATTTTGGTCATGTATAGCTGTAAACATTCTCCAGTTTTTACTTTCCATAGTACTAGTTTGATTGGTTCCCCAAGTTCTATGTCTGACTGACTTTTTTCTTAACGATCCATTGCAATCTTGTTAACGTATCTTAGTTTAAAAACACTGACACCGTGTTTCAAGCTTTTTGTGTTTGTTTGCAAATAACGAACGCTTCTTTCTCCAACTTTTATTAGATTTTCAAATCATTTGGTAATTCGATGATTTTGAGTTAAAGGGGGGATTAGTAGGAAAATCGTGCGAATTACTTCGGCTTAAACTTCACTGGAAAATGTTTAAGGGTAATGATAATAATAATAAACGTTATTTCTATAGCGCACTTATCCTATTCTCAAGGCGCTTTCCAAAAATAATATATTTATAAATAATCATGTTTACACCCTAAAAATACACTATATTAAGCTAAATAACAATTTAATTTTTATAAGTGGATCCTATTACAATTATGGTTTTATTATATCTATAAAATATCAATATAAATTCCATTCAGATTCACACTACTATACTAACAACAGAATAAGTCTACCTTAAAATAATTTGCCATTGCTAAGATAATTTGTAAAAAAAAATAATCTTAAAACTTGAAACATTCGTAATGTTACGTAAGCCATGTGGTTGCAGACATAAGTCCTTGGGATGCCAACAGTCCCAGCCTCATCTTTAACTAACTGAGAACGATTTTACGAGACAAAATCAAATCTCTGATTATAATCCTCTGGTAGGAAGTGTGTAAAAAATATGACGGAGGTAGCCGAGGGGTTGAAATTTGCTTGCTTTCTCTTCACAAAATCAATCCATCTTTGCTTCTGGGCGATTGTCGTTATGAAATGGGATCTTATGCAAGTATATACCTTTCGTAAAATCTGGGGTGTTTGAGCACCCAGCAACAACACATCTAGTAGGCATTTTCTCATATTCTGACCGAAGAACTAGTAAGAATCTTTGCTTATCAAAACATTCGTTCTTGTTGTGACGTCACCACACAGCGAGACTCTGCTCGGTCCCAGTTTCCCTTTATCCCGTCCAAATCGATGGGGCGTGGCAAAACTGCGTACTTTAGGGCGTTATATCTCCGAGAATATTTAGTCAATCCAAAAAAAATTTTTTTGTTTATTAATCTCCAACACACAGAAAATCAAAATTGATCATAATCCTATAAAGTTTAAAGACAGTTCTGTAATAGACAGGTACTATAATCTTTGGTTAAAGTTTTTTCTTGATATTCCGATGGGAAGAGTAATATTTTGACGAATTTTCATACAAGTCTGTGACGTGTATCGCTCCATACCTTTCTTTGTAAATAACTTCATGATTTATTTTACTTTCTGTTAAGCCCAAAGGTCGGCTGATATAGCCGATATTTTGATGACAAAGCACATTGCAATGTAAAGTACAAATGTAAAGCATTTGTTTATGTACAGTCGGTCTCCCTGTGGCTCAACTAGCGACTTCGTGTTTAAATACGATATCCAGAATAGACAAAAGAGCGAGAATAACGACTTATGGACTCAGTCTAAAAACAGATATAAATAAATCACGAAGCCCACCATTTGGGTTTCAAATCGCACTGTTTTGAAGATTTAATGAAATTGCAGATAAAACCATAGCAATTTACCAATGACATAACAGAAAGCGGAAGCCAAAAAAAAAAAAAAAGAACAAAAAAAGAACAAAAGACAAAAAGTAAAGGGAATTTTCTAGGTGAAAGACAGTTTATTTACTAAGTTTACACTAAAATAAAATTTAGTATTATTGCTGGAAATTTCAAAATTAAAGTAGCAATTGAACTTCTTCTCGTGCAATTTTGGTATGAAATCTAATTGATGGTTTTCACGTCGGCCATGTTGGAGGACTTTAACAAAAGAATTGTCAATGAATTCATTTGTTATATTCTCCAACATGGCCGCCGTGTCTTTCGTTATTTAATTCTCTTAGGAATGGTTAAAAACCATCAATTCGTGATTTCAAACCAATTGCACTCTCGTGACTCAGTTCAATCAATATTATTAAATTGTTGTTGTTGTTATCATTTTTTATTCAAAAAAAATTMTATTTAGAACGCCAGTGTCGGGTTGACATTCAAGGATGACAGAGATAGAGATTTCACTGATACAAATGACGATCCAAGACAGAATTGTCGCATTATGGCCGTATATCAAGGAGGTCAGGTTGATGGACACTTCCTGAAGTTCCAAAAAAGTACTTTGACTTCAACTGCAAGCAACGATGACACAAAAGGTGAGATTAATATTCAGCAGTTTTACCACAGGGAACCCGGCTATATTTTTTTAAATATTTTTTGGTAACGCACTCTCTAGTAAACTGCTTACTACTATAGAAAGTGCGTTACACACCACAGGCAACCCATAAGAAACAAAACACCAACGGTTATTGATTTGAATTTAATCGGCTATCAGTTTACAGCGCAGATCTGATCACAGCGCAGACCTGATTACAGCTTATGTAAAAGGAACCGATCAAAACACAGGAAACCCACAAAGAGCAAAGTTACTTTTCTAAAAGAAGCAAAAAAATATAGCCGGGTTCCCTGTGGTTTTACACAACGAATATGTTAGTCTCAGTGACTGTCCAGATTTTTCATAGTCTTGCTAGTGCTTGTTTGCTTGCTTGCTTCCAAAAGTTTAGTTGAATAATTTAAAAAAAATATTTTGCTTTATTACTATGATTCAGCTTACATTAGAATCCAAAGCGCCTTTACAACAGAAGTATCCGATAAGTTCTCACTTTGGGTAATCACTGACCGAGATTCTCCAACCAAAGCCTTGAAATTGAAATCTCATGACGATGGTTCATATTCCTTCACTGTTGAGGTAATAAATTTACTTTAGTAGATTCCCCCCCCCCCCGGGGGTGGGGGGTGGGGGGGGTGGTACTCCCCTACATTTGCTATACGGGTATGTGGCGCCCTATAGGGTATGGTTTTTCGGCTTTTGGGTCTGGGGTAGGGTATCATTTTTTGACATTCTGTCTGGGATAGGGTATCATTTTTGTCTGGGATAGGGTTAATGATTTGGTTGTTTTTGTCTGGCGAATAGGCTACGCTTTCTGCCGGCACAACGATAAAAACGTTAGTAAATATTGATTGCAATCTATTGAATAACCGTATTTTCCGTTTTTTAGTCTGGGATAGGGTGTACAATTCTTAGTTTTAGTCTGGGGTAGGGTATGTAAAACCAAAATTTTAGGTCTGGGATAGAGGGTCAGGGTTTTGAGAACCTGGCGGCACACCCCCACCCAAGTTGGGGTGGTAGTACCCCCCCCCCCCCCCGGGAGATTTTCAGTTACTTTTACAAAGTATTAGCACGCGTTACGACGAAGGTTCAGATATAACTGCCTGTTTGCTGTTGTTTGCTGACATGACGTCACGGTCGTATCTAGCTGTCTTTACTTCTTTTTAAGTAGTTTCCACAATTATTTGGTTTATGGGAAAGAATGAACAAAAATTAAGATTTTTAAATGCAAAAAAATTACGCGGGTTCCGTGATTTTTCATGCGATTCTACGAGAAACATCCTCTTGTATACGTCATCTTTAGCCAATCAGCGCTCGTATTTACGATAGGCTATAGGATTCAACGTGAAATACGTCATCTCTAGCCAATCAGCGCTCGTATTTATGATAAGCTATGGGATTCTAACACATATTTTTTTGTTCCCTTTTGTTCAAAGGACGAACCAAAGATTGCACTCCTCGACAGGGTAAGCGATACCGTGGCTGACCTAGGTGATTTTCTGTTCAAAAAATTCTCTTTAGCAGGAACAAGCAAGTTTTACCTTACTTCGTATACCAATACTACCGATGGGAAGTCACTGTTGTTGGCTGTTGATGGAGATGGTCACTTACGAATGGATAATCCTCCAACTGTTGACGAAAACGATCCTGTCTCCGTTGCTAGTGATGACAAGAACTTATTCGTTCTTGTCATAACCTAAAGACAAAGYAAACGTCTTATCTTTGTTTATTTTTCTCTATATAGAGATCTAAATTTGACTTTTTTTCTTTCCCTTGCCAACGAGGATTTTTCTCCGCGTTTCCTGGTTGGTTAACTTTGTTAACATGTACTTTAATAGTTGTCACCGAGGTTAAATGTTATGATTGTTGTTGATCGATACAGGATTTGTGATAATAATATAATACTTTCATAAGTTAATACATGTATTGGTAAAAATGGGGTAAACTACAAACACTTTGATATTTAATATACTAAATAAAAAGGAAAAAAAAAGAATGAAATAAAAAGTATGTTGCATTACGTATTTATATTGTCTTACTGCCTCTTATAAACTAGGACAAGAGAATATGAACTAAGAGAAGGAATCCTACCTATATATATGTAACCATCATGTGCACAGTTTGATGCTATTTTTAGATTAAAGATATTTTGAGCGAAGAACCTGATTGGTTGATTTCTTGAGGGTAGACGGCTTCTAGTCTTGCAGTAAACAAAAGCCTGTGTTTTTGTCGCTTTTCGTGTCCTAAAACGAGGCATTAAAGGAAGCATGATTATCAAAAATAGCATCAATGATTCTAAAAATAACATCAAAGTGTGCACATGATGGGGCACGGGGATTCCTTCTCTTAGTTCATTTTCTCTTGACTAGGAAGTATTTCACATAAAAGTACTAGATCCCTTGCATGTGACGTCAAAGGAGCTCAATTTTATTGAAGACAAAACAAAAGATTAATTTTCATTATCTTGAGAAACCTATTGATTGGCCCGCCTCCAAATTTAGCTGCAATTCAAATGGTCTATAAATGAATCTCTTCTTTGATTCAATAGTCTTAAGGAATAAAACAATATGCCAATACACGACGTTCCTACTTTTCGGCAATAATAAGAAAATTTGGTAGAAAGATTAGTCAGTTTACTACTCAACAACATTATGGAATCAATCTACAGCACTATATCTACTTATGCTTTTGATAACTTTGAGCAGACTTTAAATACCTGGCGTATTGTCAAGTTGCAAAAGAAAGCCAAAGATTCAGAATTCTGGAATTGAATGTTTTTAGTGGATGAACACAATTGGGTAGACACCCATGCAAACGAATAGCACAGCGCACTGATTCTAAGAATAGCTCAAAGATTCGGACAAACATAGCATAATAATAATAATAATGATAAACTATTTATTTACTGAGGGTAGCACTAAATAGCAATATGCTAACAAACCTGTGGCCCTCATTCTGTTTAACCGCTACGAGGTTTATACGAACCGATTTTATTATTTTTACTTAAAGTTACAATAATAACCCATGTAGACTAAGATCAACTGCGATCGGCTGTGAAAAGTATCTGCTGAAAGTAAACTTGTAAGTTTGTTTGTCCGAATTTCGCCTTTGTCTTCGTTTTGATTACGTCACGGCTGCGCTGCGCTATTGGTAATAGCTTGAGGTGGATCGTGATAGGTTGGGATGGGGTTCGGCACATTGTAAATACCCCCCCCCCCCNCCCCCCCCGCCTCTCCCCTCTCCCAAACACTGTGCGTTTTAGCATCATGCATGAAAGAAATCAGTCTTGCTAACTTAAAATAATTAATATAGTCTTCCGTCTCAGCCCATAAACCCACTCCTTTCGCTTTACCAACTCCATATTTCGACATGATCAGCGGGAGATTAAAATACCATCACTTTTAGCTGACACACGCCTTTTATTTAAAGACTGATGTTTTTTTCCATCTTTTTTTCTTCTTTGCCACGTGCATAGAAAGTGAAATCCCTGGCGCATGCTGCAGCGGGGAAAAAAGAAAGTTACGAAACTTTTCTGGTTAGGTAAAAAAAAAGCATTGATAAAAATACTCTTGTTTGCCCTTAGTTCATCGAGACTATAGTAAAAGTCTTATACTGATCAACACACCCAAAAACCCCAATGGCTAGTTGCAAGGTATGTATACATCTTTCTCTAGAACCCTCTCAGTGTTACGATACAAGCTGATACAAATCGTGTTGATATTTGTCATTGCTGAATCGAAACTTTTGGTCATCTGAAGGCTAATTTACACTGGCGAGATTTAAAGCAACTTTTGTGGGGATCGATTTCGGGGGCTAAAAACTCGCCTCTAGTCTGGTCAGTCGGTATATGTGCGACGTAGAGGTACATTAAAGTGGAAGAAGAAATCCCCGCTCAGAAGACGCCTGTACCAAAAGGGTCAGGTCTCAAGAATCAAATTGTTTTTTTCATCAATAGTTATAAATTTATATGATAATCATTACTGCAACGAATATTCGGGCCAGGGCTTTCGTTTTAGCTTCTTAATAAAGTCTATTTTAAAAACTTTCCCAGTGTTTATTTTCAGGATGTCAAATTGCCATACAACAAAATTCATAATTAATTTACATGTCAGATGTGGTTCCACAATTAGTGGAACGTGGCATTCGTTTTAGCTATAGATATAGAAAATAAAGATCCAACGTCCGAAAAAAAAATACTAAAAGCGTTTAATTGATTCGTCCATTCATTCACTTCTTTCTTTTTTCTATTTCTCCTCCAGGATTTAATTAAATTCGAACGGGAGCACTGATTTACACCCATACAAACTAATAAAGTGCATGCCACACAAACTAATAGAGTGTGTGCAGCCATGTGGACTCAAAATCCCTTGAAATATGAATAACAAACAGCTAGCTGTCATGTTGACTGATCTAACATGAGAAGCTAATGACGAATGCTTTGTTATCATACTCGCCTTGGATTCTTCTTGGTAACACATTTTAGCTTTATTAACGTTAGTATAACCTACAAGATTACAATTTAATTTCATTTAACACACAGAAACCAGAAAGCGGTAAGTCTGTCTGTGATGGAAAGGATGAAGAGTTCAGTGAAGGCTACTATAAGATCTGCTGTTTGAGCAACGAGGGGGATGTACAAGGACACTTCCTGAAGATAGACGACAACCAAGTGACAGCTAATGCCAGCAGACACGACGAGAAAGGTAAGTTGATCAAGTAAAAAAAAAAACATAAAAAAACATGAGCAAAAAGACGTCGATTTACTGTACACAGTACAAGCGGTCAGCGGTGTGTAGCTTTATGACACCTCCTGGCTCCTCCTTCGGTTACCGAACACAGTTTACGTAATTCAAGAAGAAATAAAAATAGACCCCAACTTATACAATAGAATGAAGCTAATAAAGAATACAATAGGTTTGCGGTACAAACAGAAGGACCTCGCATCTGGAGCTTCAGTTTCGATTGCTGGAATGGGTTTCCCTCTTGATTCCATAAGGTTTTTCTTCAGGATCTTCGGTTTATCTCAGTTAACAAACCTAATAAGCTAAATTCAAATTCGATGCAAGAGTTAGCTGTTCCCTGAAATGGATCCTATAAATGAAATGTGAATGTCTAATGTGTTTTTTTTTTTTTTTTTTGCATTGCTGTTWTTTTTGTTATGTGTGTGTGTGTGTGTGTGTGTGTGTGTGTGTGTGTGGTGACAGAGAAAAGGGGGGAAAGAGGGGGGGGGGGGGGGCATTTGGCCCTACATATACTTATAGTAAACTTATAATATGGGATTTATTCTACATTTTGATTTTCTCATGCGAGGCACTTTCAATAATTAATCGACATAGAAGTATATAGTGTATTGATATCGGCCTTACATATATATGTTGAATTTAAGTACCTCTCAGTAAGGTAGAAAAAGGGAAAGAGAAAGAGAGAGTGACTGAGTGACTGAGAGAAAAAATAGAATAGATATTCAGTCTAATTGCCCCATTTCACTATGACGTCAAATCAAAACAATCTATTGTTTAAACGCAAAGGATCATGGTCGTCGGAGGGAGTCAAATCAACGCAAATTCACCGAAAATTGTTTTAAAACCTGTATCAATCCACGAAGAGAAGTAGAATAGCCAGCAAACGCTTATAATATTTTTTAGTACATATTAACACATATTATATCAGGAAACCAGGCCATTTTAGATTAAACTGTTTCGCTAGGAGCAAATTTTGTTGCATTTTCTATTGGATTTGGCGATTCTATCCCCCATATAAACAAGCAGTGACGTCATAGTGAAATAGGGCAATTACTCATACCTAAACTACCACAATCCTTTTCAACATATCTTTTCATATTCAAATGTTAAAACTCTTTTGACAATACAAAGACAATAGTGAAAATTAGCATAACGAAAAAATCTATCGAACAGGATTCTGGACGTCTAGGTATGAAACGTTATCAGTCATTCAGCTTGAGGTTTATTATATGACCGTGAATCTTAGAGCCTGGACACTAGCAAATCGAGCAATCTGATTGGATAGATCGCATCGCGGACTGGTCTAGATTCTCCGGTATTAACCGGTCCGATCGCACATTAATCTTACGGCGAAAACATTTTGTCCTTTTCAATGAAAAGTGGTCATATAATAAAACTAATCAACCGAGCTTGGTCGGTCTGTACGGGATAATCTTGACCTCGGTCGGGTACAGACCTCGGTCAAGATTATCCCGTACAGACGTCCCGCTCGGTTAATAAGATCTAAGTCGATAATCGATAACTATCGATAAGATCAATGGAAATCGATTAAAAATATTTGGTGCATAAAAATCGGCAATGGCACTTCAGCGTGAGTAATCGATCTTGTCAATTAGTCGTAGTATCGATTGACAACGCCTGGATTAACTTGAATATAGTAGAAAGACTTCCAACTCAAAATAACGCGGTGTTAACGGAGTGTCCCTGATATTTCAATAGTGCATTCTCATTCTTTTCTTTTGTTGTTGTATGTCTTTCATTTCATATATAACAAAAATAAAAATAATACTTTATTAGGAGCAAAGTCTCAATACTCTTACAAGAATTAATAAACTGAAATGAAGAAATATAAACATAAAGTTTTTGAGAATCCCAACTGGCAAGGAGGCAAACCAGTTGGCTATTTACAAGCATGGTCGAGAAACTGAATCTGAACTAATCAGGAACCAGAAAAAATAAAGTCTCATTCAGTGGCCACAGCGGGACTAGAACCCTGCAACACCGGATTGCGAGACCAATGCTAGGCTGTCCCATGTCCATGTTGCTCATTCTAAACATTATCTTTTTTAACACACCAGCTGTACTTAAGATCCGAGCAGTCCAGAATGAAAAGGATGAGCTGGTCATGATTATTGAGAACGGAAACAATGAAGCCCTGTCCGTGGAACATGATGAATTGAATGACAAGTATCAGATTTGTGTGCGGGTAAGAAATAAGTAGGTCAGTTTACTCAATTATTATCATCAATGTCATTACCACCCCCACCCCCACCCCCACCCCCACCACCACCACCACCACCACCACCACCCCCACCACCACCACTACCACCACCATCAGCAGCAGCACAATCCACAGCATCAACATTAACGCAACCATCAACATCACCACCATCATCAGCATTATTAATATCAACGCAAGCATCATCACCACAATCATCATCATCAGCAGCAGTGCACTAGACACCATCAGCAGCATCATCATCACGAACGTAATCATCATTACCATCATCATCAAAGCCATTGTCGTCACCACCACCA